TCAAAGGCAATGGACATGATCTCTTGAATGGAAATATCTTCAATACCTTTTGGGCATGAATCTCTGGAGTGTCTCCAAAGGTTAAACTTTTCTTTCTCAATAAAAGCCCTTCCAGTCTTGAACAAGTTCGAATTTGAGCTAATGCTTCCTTGAGAGCCTGCAGAAACAGGATCGACACATTTGGTTCACCAATTTCGCTGAGTGATGTGCAGTAAGCCAGTAAATACTTACAGAAAGACACACCAATGGAAAATATATATACATAAAATAACTATACCTGAGTATTACATTTAATGCATACTTGCACATATGTATCTCACCCTGATAGCTAGATTTTAAGGATGCATTCAGACTCACCTCTATAGCTTCATTAGTGGCACTATCAGATTGTTTGTCCTGGGTTTCATTTGTGGGCTTTCCCTGCACAGTTATCCCATCAAGTTTGTTTTTTAGGTCAACTGCTTCAGCATCAATTCTGTGATCGCAAAACATAGGTGACAAAAGAGTGAAAGTCGTCAGAGACACTTCATTCACATCACAGTAAATTCAATTTTATGTTTCTTTCATGAAGCTGATCAAGATAATTATTACCGAAGAAAAGATGAGTTCAGAAAGTACAGGGAAGCCACATAGATGCAGTGAGGATAAAAGAAAACACGAAAGAGATGAAAAAGAAAACAAAGCCTATCCAAATTCAAGTTTACTTAGAACCACATAAAGAATCAATTTGAAGTCAAAATAATGGATGTGTGAAATGGCAAGAACTTGATACAGAAGGATTGTGTACTTTATCCATATCCACAAAGCAGAAAATTTTTGCGGGCGAACTCACGTCATCAACATCGGTAAAACAGAAATGGAAGTGCCGCACGTGGCATAAGGTGTATATTTTGATGGAGCTATTAATTAGCAACAACTTCAATGCATAGCTACAAGCAAAAGATCTCTTGTCCATAAGTACCTGACCATCTCAGCATTAATCTTCAACCCTGTAATGGCACCTTGCACAAATTGAAGCAATTCCTCCCTTTTGACCTGGAAAGTCGTCAGCAGGATTAGAAAACCAACATAGCAATCTTCAACTCCAGTCTAAAGAGGTAACATCTCAGGCGTGAATTGAAGGCACAACAAACTTAATTGCTTTCCTCCTGATTCAAGGTAGAACAAAACCAAACATATTGCAGAAAAAGTAAGGGTTACTATAGTACTGTTATCTTGCTTCTTTTGCTCCATCATTACACGTAAATAGCGAGATCAAGGTTGGAAAGCCACCATAGCAATATAAAATCCGAGTTAAAAGAGGAAACAGCTACTCAGTCAAAAATTGAATAAACAACTCCAAGAAATTTGATTGCTTTCATCGAGAATCATTGTGGGTGCTCAGATCCATCCATCGACTCCTCTAAAGAAGAACAAAAACAAACCTAGAGCAAAAAGAATGAAGAGTTAAGACTACTTTAGGCCTCTTAGACTAGTTGTTTCCTGTTTCTATATCATTTCACATAAACAATGAGTTCCAAGTTATTCATTTCTTCTCCTATCAAGCTTACTTCCGATAGATTTTGTTTTGCCAATACAATAACAGTTCCAAGAGGCACAATAACCAATCAGGTTTTAGATAACCACTGTCAAACATGAGTTCATGATTCTATCACTAAGCAATCTTTAAGAGAGTGGATTGTTCAAAAATTTCACAGTAGAGTGTTTGTGTTCAGAAACTCAGTATACTCCTTCATACCAGCACTTCCTCTTTGTATTTTGTAAAAACCGTAGCCAGATCCTGGATGCTGCTCAGTATTGCAATGTGCACTTCCTTTCCTCCAGTTAGACAAAGACTGGAAACAGCACAATGCAATAAGTCAGAATCAGACAAGCTGAGGCTGCCTTGATTACTGGACACTTCAACCCATAAAATGAAAATTCAGACAAAGGCAGTGTTCTGATAAACTGAGACAAAATTTGATCAATTCCTCATAAATTCCAAAACGATAAACATCTTGAAGTCCATAGTAAGCAAGAGATCAAAATCTACTCCGTAGGTTGAACATATCACAGCAAAACCACAAATAGCCACCGGAGCCATACCATAAAATAACACCCATAAAGGATAGAAACCTACCCAAACAACTCCAGTAACAAAGCAATTTCATCTTCATTTGGCGAGTGAAGGATCTGAACCACAGAAAAATATAGCAGAGTACCATGATCAGTAAGCACTTCAACACATATTTTAAGCATAAAGCACTTAGTCCCCACTCATGCACTATCATATTCAGGAAGTTATAACTATAAATCACTTATATATTAGCACAAAATTTTTCCTAACTCATTATCCTGATTGACAAGTTTAAACACATGTAGCAAATTTCCTATGCATAGAATTAGAGTTTTCTTTATGAGGGTTCCTTTATTATGCTATGGTATGAAACTAAAGCCTGAAAACTATTCCAACAGATACCAAAAATGCCCAACGTGACCAGATTGTGGTAAAGAGCATCTACTAGCTGGGAACCAGATTTGGAAAGCTGTCTTCCAGTTGTCACACTATCGTTACCAGAACTTCCCTTCTTTCAACATTGCTACTGCGTTACCAGACAGTAACAGTTGCAAGAAAACAGAGAAGTTTTTAATTCACTAGCATTTCTTGTTATTGAGATTTTAATTCACTTGCATTTCTTGTTATTGATCTCGCTTTCTTAATCACATGTCACAAGCTCTTAAACAGAAGCAAAATCAATTTGCCATACCATGGATAATGTTATGCCCTCCAAAGCCTGACTTTGCAGGAAAATGTCACGGAAAGGGAGCGGTTCACCACCAACATCAGCATCATAGTACAAAATCTACATTTTATGGGCAGAAAGTTAGGTTGATGACACAATAGAGAGGTTTGTCATTAAGTAAGCTCAACTTAGAAACAGAAGTTGGAAAAAAAAAGTCTTCTGGTCAGGGATCAGATTCTTCAAATATACAGAAATGGTTCAATCGAAATAACTTTTGCATACCGTGGACACTTTTCTCGGACCTTCTCTTGCATCATCAGGCAGAAGGTACTGCTCCAAAGACTTGAGTTTATTATCTTCTGATGAACCTGCCGCCGATTTCTCAGCTTCTTTAAGCACAGCCAACCATCTTCTCATTAACAAGGATCTCTCTTGGCCCCTGCAGGAGACAGCTGCCTCTTCCAGTCTCTTAATTGTTTGCTTAGCACTTCTAAAGTTGCGAGTGGCCTACATTGAGAGAGAAACTCAGGAAAAAAAATCCGGCAACATCGAGACCATCATAAAACAGAATCTAATCAGAATCAGAAGCTCAAGTTTACGGATACGATGTAACAGGACAAGCTCATGTTGCAACATCAAACAAGTAACAATACCAAGCACTTCAACTCTTCCTATTCCTGAACGCAATACATTCAAATAAAGCAAAAAGGATCTAAAACCCACTAGCCAAGAACCCTTCACGCCTCGCTAAAACAAAATCTCTAAGCTGCGACAGAAAGTCAAATGCTACAGTCGTATGGAGCAAGACACTGAAGAACCCTAAATAACTAGAACTATACATTCGACAACGCAATGAATCAAACAAAAAAACAACTTGTGACGAAGATCCAACCCCCGTCCAAATTGAAAAACGTCAGAAAGTGAAGAGAGAGAGAAAGGTCCTTACAATGCGATCCTGCAAGATTTTGGCTCCACCGGCGACGGCCTGACCAGCCTGATGAACAACGGTGTCTGCATAGTTCTTGACGGCGCGAGTGAGGTTGTTCTTGTTCCCAACCTCCACTGCCTTGCTCACAGCCGATTTCAACCACGACATTTTCGGGGAGGGGTTCGCCAGTTCTCCTCTTCAGAAGAAGAACACGACGATTACGGCGGCAATCGGAGAAATGGCGATGCAGTCGCAAACTGTTTGCGAAACTCCGACTAAGGAAGGGTTGGCGGCGACTCCGTGCAATTTTACTTTTTAGCGTCGTAATGAGAATTTTTTTTAGATTCCCGAGGGGTTTAAAGAGTTGAAGAAGAGACAAGGGGGAAGGAAAGGAAGAAGACGGAGAAGTTTCAGCGAGCAGAGGAGAAATGTTAGGATGTGGCCTGTTTTAGACAGCGGCCGGTGCAACGGTGAGACGTTCGTTTCTGCTACAAAACTATGTCGTTTGGGTCCATTTCCTACTCGAACGTGGTGTCACGTAGTAGTCTCCGTGGGTGAGACATTAAATTAAATTAATTTCTATTTCTTTTTTTTTCATAGATAGATCGTAATAGATAGGGTATTACAATGCAGCGGAACTGAAAGAATGGTAGTCAACCAAAATGGTCGCTACCGATGCAAGGACCGTTTGTACCACGCGATGGGCAGCCCTATTAGTTCTACGAGGAGCAAATACAAACGTAATAAAAGCAAAGGAAGACTTCAACTTCCGCACTTCCTCTAGCATCGCTCCTCCGCGGTCATGGTTGACATCATTCTCCAATGCACGGCGGATGACCAATTGGGAATCACCACAGAAACAGACAGCAGAAAAACCCCGATTAATACTCCACAGCATTGCATCCCTCAAAGCTAATAATTCCAACAGGAATGGGTCCCAAATGCCCTCGTAACACTTACCGTATGCACAAACCAAAGAGTGGTCGCTATCAAATCCGACGAATCCAATGCTTCCTCCCACGCCTCGTCTCGTCGCACCATCGAATCGGACAAGAAGTCCACCGGGGGGCAAGAAGGATCAGCTACTGGTTGCCTGGCCTGCCTTGGCCTCGGAGCAATCTCCCTCGGCAGCGCAGCCGCCTCCCTCCATTCCTCGACCAATTTCTATTTTTTTAAATTATATTTCTATTATTACTTATTTTTTCAAGAAAGGGTGTATATATTGGGGCAAGCCCACCCAGGCTGGATCGTATTCAAAATATATCATATACAAGCCCAGGCCCAGACCAAAAAGCCCACGACATAGTTTTGCAGAAGAAACGTATGTTGCCCACCAGACCAGAAGGTGGATCAGATCATGCCATTAATTAAGCTCCGTTTCTGATGTACTAGAGTAACATGGTGCCTCAAAGCAAAATCCACCATCAATGGCGATTGATTTCGTTAGTCCATTTCTTCATTGCCTTCATCATCTGCCCTCGAATTCGCTACCAACTCCAGTACCGCTTGATTACTCCGATTTCGTAGATCGTTAGAAGAAGAAGATGATAATTGAATTGGATAAGATACAGGGTGTGAAGGGATTCCATTTTCGGATTTGTGGAGGATCTGATCGTTGGAACTGGAACCAATCTAATTAATCTCATTGCTGAAGTTGAGAGCCTTACCACTCAACATTTTCACTTACACATTCAACTGTTTCTGCTTTGAGATCTAGATACGACCAAATTAATTAGACAAGTGTTTCTACAGACAGCAAGAGAAAGCTCAAACCAACCAACCAACAACTGTGTTTTAACATCGACAAAACTGATCAAGTAAAAAGGTGTTACCATGTGTCCATGATCAAAAGCAACAATCACAATCAAATGGGCAAAGTGAGGAACCTCCACCTTCAGATTTACTGAGACCCAATTCTTCCTCCGTGTAAATGGTAAGACCATCTGCAGTTTTTCTCCGGCCATTACCAGGCCTATCTGCAAATCTTCTCTCTTGATCCTCGACGCTTCTCTTCTTCATCCCCTTCTTGTCTGTAAGGTTCGTTTTCTTCGTTTCATTTGGGTTCGTCCCATCAACCTTTTCTTGGCTTTGGGTTTTCCTCTTCTTCCCAGCAAAGATCAAATCGATTTCATTCACCGGCTTCTTCTTCTTCTTCGTGACAGAAGATTCATTTTGATTCACCCCATCCGACTTGCCTTGGCTCTGGACTTTCCTCTTCTTCCCAGCAAAAATTTCGTCAATTTCGTTCACCACAGGCTGTTTCTTTGCACTGGTAGGTTTTCCCTGCTGTACTTTTCCGTCAAATGATTCTTGAGGTTTTGAAGGTGCTTTCAAAGATCCCTTCTTTGGCATGTTGAATCAACTCTGCAGTTTGCTACTTGTAATTAGAGTAACCCACCGAGAGAAACCAGAAAGACCACTGCTCAAAAATGAAATTCATCAAGATCGATCATTCTCATGGACCAAAGAGCTCGCGCTCACAGCGAAATCACACAGGATGGTGCAACACTAAACCTTCAGCAGAGGCAAGAGGAAAACTAAAAACCTCTCCACATTGGTTGTTGTAGAGCCTCATCTAACACTACATAAATCAATGTCTAGCTAGTTGTCCAGAGGAACCAAGAAAAACAATTTTTTCAGTTAAGCAGACCACAAAGCAACTGAGCATAACCATGGCAGTTCTGTGTAGCACCATATCGCTTTGTAAATCATCCACAAGTTACCAACACGACCGAGGTAGCTAGTAAGCAACCAGTTCAAAGAAGTTCAGCACAATGCCATAACAAGAAATGGTCAGGGTGAAATAGAGACCGAGACAACAGGAACAAACAAACAAACAGCACAAACCCACAACAGACTTGGTGATTTTGACGCTTAACTAGAAATAGCCGCCGATACTTCCTTGTAAACTCAAGTAGAAAGGATTCTGAAAACCTAGAACCACGAAAGGCCGACGAAGAGCAATTAACTAAAACCCTATAAAACTAGCAATTAGACCGATCAATACTTTTACACCATCAAAGTGATTGAAGTGAGGCCAGAGAAAGGGAGAGCGGATCTTACCTCGAAAAAATCCGGTGACGACGGGGAGTTGAGGAATTTAGCAGGAATTTAGAGAAGGAAGCGTTGGAGAAAGCGGCGGCGAGAGACGAACGGACGGAGGCGGCGAGGACGGAACGAGAGAATTCGACGATGCGGCGTCTGCTTATTGTTCGCTCTCCACTCTCCAGTCTCCACCGTAGGATAGGGAAGGGGGAAAAGCAGATCTAGTTTCGTTGTTGGGCCCCTAATACCGTTAGCCCATCAACCTTCAACGATCCCAGAATTTTCCTGACAAAAATGGGCCGAGACCCACCAAGGGCTTGAGGACTGGACTGAGGTTCTTCATTTCTTCAACAGTGGAATTAGCTGTGAGTTGTGAGTTGTGACAATACCCCGCCATTAGGGAGGGATGACAATATGTGCAAGTTAATGTACATTCGTTAAGTATAGTGCATAGAAGCATCTGAAAAAACTATGCGATCACAATTCACAAAGTGCATGATGATAATTTTGTAGATAAATCGTCACCACTTTAATTCAATGATGACGAACCGTATGTTGCTTATTCAATAGTTTTATGTACTTGGGAGCACATAATTGGAGATGTCAATTAAACCCACGATCGTAGTTATCTGACAGCCCACGACAAAATCAACGCGGGGGAAATCATACATTGATTGGATACGTGACGGGTATGGATAAAATAGGCTAAAAATGACGGGGAAAGTGAACTACTATGGTTGGTCTAGCTCGTGCTAACCCAACCTTTGGCCAGAACTCAGAAGTCAACAGCTACCTACCACAAAGCCCACAATCCCACGTGGGACCCATTCCCAGCGGCCCGTCCAGAAGCCCATTAACTCCATCCATACCAGTCCCGAAATCTAACCCTCTATTACCAATAAATCACAACCATGCCACCCACCCTTCCAGCCTAACCGCCATCGCTGCTTCCCTATAAAAAAAAACTTGAAATCCAGACCATCTCAGAAAAATCCTCACAAAAAAAAAAAAACATTATTACAAAATTAAGAATCTGCGAGACGCCATGGTCGATCCACCGCATGACGAGCAAATCGGAGGAACAATTCAAAGCATTAACGGCGATACAAATACGCCTAATCAATCGTCGCATCCCCTGTCGGTCGCCGACATCCACGTCGACGGCGTGACATTCCCCGCCTCCGTCGCCCCGCCGCCGGCGTCCAAGCTCTCTCACTTCCTCGGCGGTGCTGGTATGAACATATTATCCCAAAAAAAAAAAAAAAAAATCTTCCTTCTTGTTATATCGCAAAATTGTGGCGTTAGTTTGTTTTGTTTGTTTGTGGAATGACTGAAGGCGTGAGGGGACTGGAGATAGAAGGCAATTTCGTGAAGTTCACGGCGATTGGAGTGTACGTAGAGGACACGGCGGTATCGGTGCTGGCTGCAAATTGGAAGGGGAAAACCGCCGAGGAGCTCAAGCTCTCCGTCGGATTCTTCCGCGACATCGTTTCAGGTCGGTCCTACTAATTCTTCACTTCACAGTTTCAGTCATCCAATCCCAAAACCATCAGCAAGAGTTAATCAAACGTTTCAATGTGCTACTGAGAAAGCGTAATTGAAATCCAATTCAACACCAAGCTCTGTTTTCCCATAAACTTAAAACTAAAATTGTAAGCTTGTAAGTTTGAAAGCGTGATTTTGTCTATACTAAAAAAGTTTGATTCTAAGTAGAAGTATTTCAGAGATAAAAGCGTAAATTTTTAAAATTTAAAACGCGATCTAATTCGATTGCGAGTGGTTTGGTGCGAAAAGAGTTTCTTTCTTCCCTCTGTTCTGCCCTTTCTGTCCAGCTCTTCGCTGCTACCTGTAAATTGCTGCATTTGAGCCCTTCTCTAAGTAATTGAAACTTGATGTAATCAGGACCATTCGAGAAGTTCACAAGGGTGACGATGATCCTGCCGTTATCAGGCGCACAGTACTCAGAGAAAGTGGTGGAGAATTGTGTGGCTGCCTGGAAAGCCAGAGGAGTTTACACCGACGCAGAGGCCAAAGCCACCGAGAAATTCCTCGAAGTCTTCAAAGATCAAAACTTTCCTCCTGGAGCCTCCATTCTATTCACCCAATTCCCTCAAGGATCGCTCGCTGTGAGTCACACCCAAATAAGCCATAAGCTACTTTGTAAACTTTGTCATGTAAGCTAACGGAAGAGGAATTGTTGAACTTCTGTTTTTCAGATAAGCTTCTCCAAGGACGGGTCGGTGCCAGAGACTTCGGTGGCGGTGATAGACAACAAGCCGCTCTCGGAGGCGGTGCTGTGGTCAATCATCGGTGATCACGGCGTGTCCCCTGCTGCGAAACAGAGCTTGGCCGAGAGGTTTTCCGGGTTGCTCAAGGAATGAGACGAACGAGTGGATGATTTGATGTTTGACGCTTTTGGGTTTTTTGTTTGTTATCGTGAATTAGCTAGCGGGCAGACTTTCATGTTGTTGTTTATTAATAATGATCAAATCTAAGCTTCCCCTGCCAAAACTCCATGCGCCTGTTTCAAGGTACTCTGTTTTCTTCACTACATTGGCAGATGTGTTCGTTGAGTTTTTAATCCAAACAATTTCAGGGATCAACGCTTGTGTTTCGACCTCACACCGCAACTGCACAAATTGTTTTGCTATCCTGCTTATTCACGAGAAGAACTCCGAAAATGGAAGCCAATCCTGCATTGTTGTAGAATATATGACCAGAACTACACTTAAACATTTGATAGCATTCTAGTTGCCATTACCCTCATCATCCAAACTCATGCGGCCCTTGTAAAAAAACTTTTAAGAATATGCAACCAAACTCTTTGTTTTCCGGCGAGTAAAAACTTGTGTTTGAATTCAATCGATGCACATTGACTTCTCGAACAACGATTAATAACACGGTTCACACCTCTCCGAACAATGTTCGAACGAGGGTGTTCGATGATTTTGATGGCTGATAAAACTAAGTTAAATTAATTCTACTCCTATGGAGGTTCAGTGAGAGCTCTAAGAACTAAAAGCTACAACTACGCTACATTGCAGAGAAAAGATAAGTTTGACATGTGGTGTCAAATGGTTGGTTGTGGAACCCTTTTCCCGTCTTCGTTTCTCCTATTTATAGCCACTGGGTGTAACTGCCTTGGTAACCGCCGTAGTAACTGCTAGTTGGCCTTTTGCTCCAACCGCCTTAGGGCCCGCTTGTCGCTGCCTTAGTGACTAGTTGGTAACCGTCGCCTTGGGGGTCTCGTCCCGTCTTGGGGCTGGTTGGTACTTGATGGTCTCGATGTTGGGCCGGGTTGGTGTTAAGCCTTGTCGCCCTGTCATGACTGGATGGGGTTGAGGTTATTTTCATTAGTCTCCATGATGAAGTCTTGATCGCACCCTCGACTGCTTGATGACTCCCCACTCTTGTCGTCTTGAGACCGCTACCATCTCATGACACCAAGTCCTCCTCATTAACTTGTTGGTTGTTACCAAGCCGTCTCATCGGCTTGATACCTTCCGGCATGCCAGCAAGCCCATGTAATCAACTTGACACCCCTTGCTACCAAGCCAGTCCTGGTGGCTTGGGGTCTCCATACTTAGTTTTTGTAGCCTCGTCAAGTGGTAAGTTGCACCCTGCCGGTTTGGTACCCCGTGAAGGTGCTACCAAGCCCGTCTTTGGACTGTCTTCGTATGGCCTCATAAGGGCTGAGCTCAGCATCCTGGTCGATCCATCCATAGTTGGGTGGCCACCTCAGCTAGTCACCATGCCTTAGTCGAATTTCTTGTCTTGTTGGCTTGGTACCTTGTAGGGGTCTTGGTACCGAGGTCCCCTTGCCCGCCTGGTACCCCCTTAACTCCATACTTAGCCAATTTTTATATCTTTTGGTATCAAGCCTACCTTGTCGGCTTGATACCCCTTTTGCTTCATACTTAGCCAAATTATATGTCAAAGTACCAAGCCCTGCTTTGCCGGCTTGATACCCCGTTGTTGACATCCAGTCATTTGGCACCCTGTTGTGTCACCTTGTTTCCAAGACTTAGTTTTTGGATGACCTCCTATTTGGTACCTGGCTATTTGGCACCCCGTTGTGTCGCCTTGTTCCCAAGACTTAGCTTTTGGATGGCCTCCTATTTGGTACCCGGCTTGGTACCCGACCGTTTGGCACCTCGTTGTGTCACCTTGTTTCCCATACTTAACCTTTGGATGGCCTCCTATTTGGTATCCGGCTTGGTACCCGGTCGTTTGGCACCTCGTTGTGTCGCCTTGTTGTCCATACTTAGCAAAATTTCTTACTTGGGTATCAGGTCTGCCTTGTCGGCTTGATACCCTCTTGTTTGGCCCCCTTATTTGGTACCAGGCTTGGTACCCGGTCGTTTGACACCCCGTTGTGTCGCCTTGTTTCCAAGGCTTAGTTTTTGTAGGCCAAATTTCATACTAAGGGTTGGAGGCATCGTCCGGCTATGGGGGCCTCGGAGACGGGTCGACCATCGTATAGAGGAGAAGGGGGTCCCCCTTATTTGGTACCAGGCTTGGTACCCGGTCGTTTGGCACCCCGTTGTGTCGCCTTGTTTCCAAGACTTAGTTTTTGTAGGCCAAATTTTATACTAAGGGGTGGAGGCACCGTCCGGCTATGGGGGCCTCAGAGACGGGTCGACCATTGTATAGAGGAGAAGGGGGTTGGCCACTTAGGCCCAAAAATCAAACCCAACTAGGCCCAGCTGGCTCTTTTAATCATTAATGTTGAGCTGGCCTTATAAATCCATTAATCCCCTTGTAATTAATCGATGTGGTACAAACTGATTTTTTTTATGGGTAAACACTCTTCCGGCGATCAGCTGGTGTCAATGGTGACGTGAGGACTGAGACTGCAGAGAGGTACAGAGAGATGGGGAAGAAGGGGATATCATGTGGCAGCAGGAGGGAAGTGTTTGATTGTAGATAACTGATAGCAGATGGTTATGAAGTGGGAGTGACAAATACCACATAGGAAAGCACAGGAAGTTTGACACAGAGAAAATAGTATAAAGTGAGAGTTAACTAAAACTTCATGACATACTTATCTGGACGAGATTTACAGACCATCACTGAGGCCTGTGGTCTAGGCTAGTGATCTCCTTTGCACCTGAGGAGGGGTGCTGGGTTAAGGTCTTCCCAACATTGGAGAGCCTACGTCATAGCCCCTAACCAATTCAAAGTTTAACATTTTTTAGTATGTTTTATTCACAGTGTGCTCTTGCTGCAATAGTTCTTTTTGGGGTGATTGGCCTGTTGAGTGAACTAATACATGGAAGCAATATGTCAACGTTATGGTTTGCAGAGAAGCATGAATGGACATCGTACAGTTTAATTCATGCTATATTTTAGTCTTTAGATGGTAAGTGTTCCTATGCATTAATGTATCTACTAGAATCGAATTGTTGGCGACTGTTGGTAATTTCTTGGGGAGAATGAGGAGTTGATCTTCTTATGGCTATGTGATGTAGTGTTTGGTCGTACATAAGATAGGAAATAAGTTGGAGGAGTATAGGAGTACCACATCGATGAGCAAAAGAAGTTTAGAAGGAGAAAGAAGTATAAAATAGAGTTGGGTGCAACTGTCCAACATACTTACCTGGACGGGATCTACAGGCGATCAATAAAACTTGTGGTCTAGATCAGTGACCTCCATTGCACTTTAGGAAGGGCATTGAGCTAAGATCTCCCCATTGTGGGAGAGCCTACGTCATAATTTATGACAGAGGGGGCATGCGTTCGCGCAGTCCCTACTCAATTCGAAGTTCAATTCTTTCTGGGATTAGCCCATCATTTTTGCAATTATTCTATGGGCTGGCTCGTTGTGTACAGTCCATTGGATTGCTAATCTAGATTATGGACTCCACACATTTGAATAAATTATCGGGCTAACGTGATTTTTTTAATGAATCGCGAGTTAATATTTACGTTGCATGTTAGTCACAGCCAAAAATGACTATGATATTTTGCTTTGTCTAAACTATCTCGAGATTAATCTACTAATAACGTTTTCACGTTTCAGAAAAACACAAAGGATCTTGCTACAATCTACACATTTTTAGAAGATGTTCAAACTACATGATGTAGTTTTTATAATGTATTTACTCTAAAGTTTATGTTCACAAAACGCCATTAATTGTGGCCATTGAATTGTTGGTTGAAGTATACATTAATTTAGTACTTCACTTGATGACCTCAAATAACTTTTTCATATAAATTTTTCTTTTTTTTTGCATGCATGCATGTTTTAATTAGCATTCAATGCCCCTGTTTAACTCCATGTCCTTGTTCAATCAAACCAATTGATTGAAGCAACATGTCAACATTATGGTTTGCAGAGAAGCATGCATGCATTGACATTGGACAGTTTAATTCATACTACATTTAGGCCTTAAGATAGTAAGAGTTCCTAACTTCCTATGCATTAGTGTATTTACTAGAATTGGGACCTAACAATTCTGACAATACCACTACCTCAAATTATCGGCATATGTTGGTAATTTTATGTAGAGAATGAGGAGTTGATCTTCTTATGGTTAGGGGATGTAGTGCTTGGTGGTACATAAGATAGGAGATAAATTAGAGGAGCATAGGAATACCACATCACTAAACAAAAGGAAATTTAGAAGGAGAAAGCCAGAAAGGAGTATAAAAAAATAGTTGGGTGCAACCATTCAACATACTTACCTGGACGGGATCTACAGGCGATCAATAAAACCTGTGGTCTAGGCCAGTGACCTCCATTGCACTTCGGGAGGGGTGTTGGGCTAAGGTTTCCCCAATGTGGGAGAGCCTACGTCATAATTTGTGGCAGCGGAGGCTTGCGTTCGCGCGGCCTCTACCCAAGTTTTAGTTCAATTATTTTTTGCGTTAGTCCATAATGTTTGCAATTATTCTATGGGTTGTTTTATCGTGTATAGTCCGTTGGATTACAAGTCTAGATTATGGATTCCACACATTTGAATCAAGTATCGGGCTAATGCGATTTTTTTATGGATCCTTAATTAATATTTACGTTGCATGTTAATCACAACTAAAAAATGGCTATGATTTTTTGCTTTGTCTAACTATCTCGAGATTAATCTACTGATAATATTTTCACATTTGAGAAAACAAAAAGGATCTAGCTACAATCTACACGTTGTGGGAAGATGTTCGAACATGATGTGGTTTTCTAAAATGTATTTACTCTAAAGTTTATGTTCACCAAACGCCATTATCTGTGGCCATTGAATTGCTGGTTGAAGTAGACAATTTATAATTTAGTATTTCATCACTTGGTGACCTCAAATAACTTTTTTGAGATATTTTTCCTTTTCTGCATGCATGCATGTTTTGATTAGCAGTCAATGCCCCTGTTTAACTCCATGCCCCTGTTTCAATCAAACCAATTGGTTGAAGCAATATGTCAACGTTATGGTTTGCAGAGAAGCATGCATGGACATTGGACAGTTTAATTCATACTACATTTAGACCTTAAGATAGTAAGAGTTTTGATAGACCATTGATTACACATGTTTTTACCCCTATTCTTGAGCCGTTTGAGATGTCGATTCCCGTGTTTTAGGCCGATTTCACGCTAGGTTGTTCTTGTTTGTGATATTTCAGGTCCTAGTACGTGAATGAAGGTTTAGGAACGAGTTCGGGGTCGATTGGACGAAGTTTGAACGCTTGGCGAGAAGCTGAGAAGCCACACGGGCATGCCCAAAAGCCACACGGCCGTGTGGGTGACCCACTGTGGCCGTGTGAAGGCTCGGCAAAAGCCACACGGGCAGACTGGACACTCACACGGCCGTGTGAGTCGTGGCCGCGTGGGAAGCCTGAAGTCACTTAACGAAACGCCACGTTTTGCAAAGCCACACGGGCAGCTGAGGGAGTCACACGGCCGTGTGACATGGCCGTGTGAGTCAGAATTTTCTGGTTTTAAGCCAATTTCCAGCCACAAGTGAGGGGGATTCGAGTTTTAGAGAGACAGAGCGATTCCTAGAGAGAGAAAGCGACGAACAAGAGTTCCCAAGTGCCCTAGCTTGATCTTCATCACCATTGGAGCCCGGCTTGAGCTTGGAGAAGTGCCGATCGACGCCCAGGAGCAGAAATCCATCCTTCACAGTATGGTTTCCGCATCTGAATCTGCTTTTGCTTCTTTCTCCATGGAGTAGTTCTCCCATTCATCTGGGTATGGGAAACCCTAGATTTGTATGTTAGGTATGATTGTATGAACCCAAGTACAGATTCCATGATTTGTTTATATTCAACTGAGGTTTGAATGATTGAATGGCATGAATCCTGATCAAATTCCTGTTGTTTATGCTTTAACCTAGAAAGAGAATATCTGCCTAGGTTGATAGAGCACCCTTAATTGAAAGTAGTGAATTGGCGACTTTAGTCGAGGAGCCAATTCACTATTCTGTACCGAAGTTACTTCGGTAGAGGAGGTTTTGTTCATTAGGGCCTCAATCTGTTTACTCCGGTGGAGGTTAGTCGCCCGCTAGAGACTCAGATTGAGAGGGTCTGGAGACCTTTAGTCGAGACTTCAGACTGTTTAAGAACCTTCCGCAGTATAACTATCTTAGAAACTGAACTTGGTAATTGCAATCCGGCTTAACTGCAGTTTATGGGGAACCATATCCGGGTGACCTTTCTCGACTTGAAACAACCGTTTAACTTGCTTTGTGTTTTTGTTTGTTTGAACCTGCACTTAAGTTTTACTGCTAGATAATAAGAATTCACTTAGTAGTCATCACATCTAGGACCCGGGTTGACATTAAAACCCAAACCCACTATACTACGCTTTAGGAAGTGGTTTCACTTGGCCATTTTCTAGAGTGACAGTAGGAGTGAGTCAAGTTTTTGGCGCCGTTGCCGGGGACGGCTAGGTTGTTGAAGAAACGTGAATTCTGTTAATTTAGCTTTTCTTTTCGCATTGTTTGCTTTGTCCCACTTGTGCCTTCACGGGTTTGCTTGTTTGAGTGTGTGCAGGTAGTGCATGACCCGTAGCCAGTTGGGAGATTTACTGCCGTTGAATCCAGAGATTGAATGCACCTGTCGCCAACTCAGGAGACAACAGCGAGCTAGACTAGCTACGGAGGAGGGCCTAGACGGCCATTTGAGCAGCGAGTCCGAGGACGAGATGGAAGGATATTACAATCCACACAAGGGGAATCCTCACCAGGCTCCCCCGGTGAATCAGGTCTTGGGGAACAACCCCATACCCCAGGCAGATGGGGTTCATCATCATCCACCGCCGCCGGGTCCCACCTTGGAGTACTACTACACTCCACGGATTGCTGACATCCGCCCGGTCATCCTCTATCCGCCTATTCCAGCGAACAACTTCGAGATCAAGCCATGCTAGATTCAACTCATTACATCATCTATCCAATTCCATGGCTTGAAGGATGAGGAGGCAAGGCTGCATCTTTCCCGTTTTCTACAGCTGACGAACGGGTTCAAGCTGAACGGTGTCCCTGATGACGCAATCCGCCTCCACCTCTTCCCCCATTCTCTGGCGGGGAATGCTAAGAGGTGGTTGGAGACCCAGCCCCCATTGTCCATCACTTCTTGGGATGATCTGGCTGACAAGTTCGTGCACAGGTACTACCCAGCATCGAAGACCACAGAGATCCAGCGGGAAATCACTCACTTCCGCCAAGAGCCAGATGAGTCAGTTCGTGATGCATGGGAGCAGTACATGGGATATTTCTGGCAGTGTCCCCATCATGGCTTCAGTGATGCATTCACAGTGGGGAACTTCTACAGT